ATAAACAGTATTAAACAACATTTACCGGAAATATTTCTCCTTCGACAGGGATCGAACCTGTATCCTATACGGTACCGTCAGAAAGCCTGACATGCTTTTAACCGTCATTTGCTGACATTTGGATACGCCATGAGCAGAATGTCCGAGAGATTTTCATAGAAAATATTCGTTCTCGGACATTCAGGCCGGTAAATGTTATTTAATACTGTTTATCATAAACAGAGCATTTGCTTAAATACTTGTATCTATAAATAACAACGTTAAACATAAAAAATGTCTTTAATAAATAAATTGTCGGACCTTGTCCATTTCTTAATATATATATATATATATATATATATATATATATATATATATATATACTAATCTTCGCTTGAAGAAATACAATCTTCTGTGTAGCGATTTCAAAATGTTTTTATTATAATCTCTTATAATAAAAATATTACACACACACATACATATATATATATATATATATATATATATATATATATATATATATATATATATATATAAAATTGAATATTGAAGTCAACAATCAAAAGCGACAGGCTGTTTCATGCTAGGTTCAATCATCAGGCCGCGAATGTTGGGTTTTCCTCGACTATTTATATATATGGGTCAGTACTGCAAACAAGAAAAACTCAATGATAAACCACTGTACCTACACACATCCTCCAATCACCCGCCTTCAATGATAAAACAGATTCCAAAATCAATTAACCGCAGGCTTTCCGACATTTAATATTTTCCATATTTAACCAATCTAAGAAAAACTACGAAACACCCCTAAAAGTTAGTGGATTCCGGCAACACTCACATACTCACGACAGAACAAAAGAAAGGCCAACAGGAAGAGAAATATCATATGGTTCAACCCACCGTGCAGTAAAAAGGTAAAAAAAACAAATGTATGCAAAATATTATTCAAACTCTTAAACAAACACTTCCCGGGATCAAGCACTCTACACAAAATATTCAATAAAACACTGTAAATTCAGATACAGTTTCACCGAGAACATGGCACAAATAATAAAAAACCACAACAGGAGAACTATCAACAAACCACCCGAAGAAATTAAAGCCATCTTAATTGTAGAATATAGAATAAATGTCCCTTAAACGGTAATTGTTTACAAAACAACGTAATATACCAAACCACTGTAAAATCAGCAGATAATGAAGAAAAATTATACATAGGTGTAACTGAAGGACCCTGGAAACAAAGAAACTTTGCACACAAAACATCTTTCACAAATGCTAAATACGCGAACAGCACAATGCACTCCAAGAATATATGGAAAATAAAACCAAAACACGATTCACACCAAAAATATTATGGAAAATTAGAAAAAGATCATCAGCCTACAATAATCAATCAAAAACCTGCAAACTTTTCTTGGAGGAAAAAATAGCTATTATTGCCATCCCAGACCATAATAAATGACTATATAAACGATCTGAAAAATTTTTACTTACTTACTTAAAAATCGAAAATTGAAATGAATAAATAACATAAAGAAAATAATATAAAAAAAGTAAAATAAATTGAGCCAAACAAATAATAAACAAATTAACCAGTTAGAATAGACGAAATAGAATAAATAAAAATAGAATATAAAATACATAAAAAACAAGTAAAACAATCAACCAAAATGAATAAATAAATTAAAAATTAACAAACAAATAACAAACCAATCCCGCCAAAATAACCGTTAGAATAGACTACAACAACCAATCCAATAATTGGACGTAAAAATAGCTATAACTACCAGATAACGATAAAAAAACATTAACACGTTACTCAAAAATCGGAAACCAAATAGAGTATATGAGAATATTACTTTTCCATTTTTCAAGCTGCTCGACATACAGTTCACGTTGTTTATGTGTAAATTAATTTCTCAATTCTTCCTACGGGTTGTTGGTATCAACCCTTCTCTTTTCAATGTTTCTCAGAACATGATACTTTCTTGTTTTTTTAACAAAACTTTCTTCCGATTTATCACAGCAACGACCAATAGTATCACATATGAAATACTGTTTTTGGGTTGACAATGAGAAACATCAAATTGTCCATTTCCCCCTCCACATTGCAGCCGTTTTGTTGGTTCTCCAGGACGAAGGTAAACCTCAAGTGCAGTAGTTTTGAAAACATTGGGACGATGAAGGAGACTGCATTAAGTGTCGTAGACACCTTCACTGTGGTGAATACGCAGGCAAATAGAAGTAATGCAAACACATGATATAATAACGTTTCAAGCAAGCACGAACGCAAACACTTGGAAGATTATACAGCGTCTTGCATTGAAGAACGGGTTTCTAATTCCAGTCGAGATCGTTACATGTGATACCAGTTCTCTGTATTTGTTTCTTCCAAAAAGTGTAATTGGTCATGCACAAGCCTTCACCACTATAATCAATCATATGTTCGAGCAGTCTGAAGACTACTTTGCCGTACCCTCTCTCTCTCTCTCTCTCTCTCTCTATATATATATATATATATATATATATATATATATATATATATATATATATGTATGCTGGATGCGATGGATAGAATGTCGACTAAATAACGCAAAAATGAAAATAACACTGACATTTCATTTTAACACATATATTTAGTAAAATTACACAAAAACGTTTTGAAGCACGAAAAGAGTAAATGTATTCAATAAAATCGCCATTGGTGTCAACCATGGCCTCCAGATGACTTCGGGATCTCCTGCATCGCTTATGGACGGTCTCCTAGGTTTAAGTTCGTGAATGCTGCTATAATCTTTGCCTTCAGTTCATCATTGGTGCAACAAAGAGTTTTGCTCGTCTGTCGCTCAATTGCGCTCCACACTTAATAATCAACCGGGGTTGCAGTCAGGGGAGTCAGGGGAGTCAGGTGGCCAGATGTAAGGGATGATGCAATTGCAGAAATCTTCATTGACCCTTAATCACAATAGACACGGAGGAATATATGCGTTAGTCAATAATAAACTAAAATTCAACATTAATCGCTGCATTTATGTATTGCATTAATATTTAAGCTTACCTTTTAAAAGTTCCATGATAATTCATGTGCTGCCACTTAATTTAAAGACAATTTGATGTACGAAGAAAAACTTCTATACAATAAATTATTTTTATTTCATGGGTGATTTCGCTGGATTTCACAATTAATTTCAAATATTCCCAAATTCTTTTCCAATTTATAAAAATGGATATCGTACGAAAAAATTCGTTGCAAGATAAGAAATCGCCGAAAACAATAGCAGTATATAAAAACCTGGCAATCTAAAATTTCCGGATTGCGGGGTCTGGATAAGACCCCGAAAGTCACGAAATCATCCTGATTCCAAAATGGTTTGATGTGTTGGACTACAGACACTAGGAGTAAAGTTCAAAACACGGATAAGAGATTTTTTTTTCATTTTTGATAAGCCGTAAAATGTTGACATTTATACAACTAATTCGAAAATTTAATATTAAAATATTAATGACACACACGCACACCCACATACACAGAGACGCGTGCGCGCACACATAAATATATGAAAATAATATAAAATATAAAATAAATATGAACTTCGGTAAATTTACATTTATCATGAAACAACGAATGCGGAAATTTGAAATATAAACTAAAAATAAAAAGGAACTTTAGCAAATTTACCAATAACATAAAATAATAATAATAATAATATATATATATATATATATATATATATATATAAAGAGAAAGAACAAAGAGATTAAGGGTTTACCGTTCTATAACATTTATTTTTTTTTAAGTACTCGATACAACATAGAGGAAATATATTGTAATAATATTGAAATTCGTAGAGCAAATTATATTTCAATAATATATATATATATATATATATATATATATATATATATATATAATTAATTAACTGATTTAAAATATGGGTTCTTCGCTACACAGGAATTACCATGTCTCAAAAACCGAATCTAAAAATTCAAAATTTAAACATTTTGTCGTTGATAAAAAAAAGACGACATGCGTTAAACAGATCTCAAATTGCGTCCAAAAACTCACCCCTAAACTTAACCTTTTTTGGAACGTAACTCATAATTGATACAACAATAGTTAATAAAAATAAACACGCTACCGCCACTGTCTAATTGGATTTCTCTGTATCACTGGAAACAAAAAATTATGAATTGTATGAGCGTTTAAAACTCAGTAAATCTAAAAATAAATTATTCCAAGTTTCTCTTGAAGATGAAACTGAACTAATGCTTTTAATTTAATTATATAATTAAATTTTACATTTTTAGATTCGGCTTTGAAACATGGCAATTCCTGTGTAACGAAGAAACTATATTTTAAATCAGCTAATTTATATCATTTGTGCTCTGTAAATTTACATTGAGTACTTTTTTTGTAAAAATAAAAATATCAATAAAAGCACCGGATTATAATATCTTATTGTATTTTTCATTTTATATATATATATATATATATATATATATATATATATATATATATAAAGAAAAAAATCAAATAATTGTCGACTTATTTCATTCCATCATTCATAAGAACTCATCCAGCAGATAAAAACGTTCGAGGGAAATCATAGAAAATATGTAGTAAAATCGACATTGTTAAACTGATGCTTCTTCGTAGCTAAATTGGTATAGCATGTCATGCTATATACCGGTTCAGTGTAGGTTGCAGTTTCGATTCTTATTGGAGGTCGCATATTTTCTATGAAATTTCTCGGATCTTCAGACCGGTAAATGTTGTTAATACTGTTTATTATAAACAGTGCATTTACTAAAATATTTGTGTATATATAAATAACGTATACCAATAAAATGTAAGAGGTTTTGCATTTTCCTTTCCGTGCCTGCTATCAGCATTGTGCCATCTGCGTATCTCATATTAAGTTTGTGACTTCAGCAATGTATCCTGGTATGACTTTTAATTCTCTCAAAAATTCCTCGCTGTATAGATTGAATCGCCGCCCATCCAGAGTGTAGGTATGAGAAGACGCTACGAAGAAGTGGGAGGGCAGTTCACGCCCTCTGAAGTATGGTGAGAGAAGGTGGAGGAGGAAAGGTTCCCAAAATGGAAAAAAGTGGAAATTCCTAACCAGAGGTGGATATGTATTTAGAATTATCGAGGAAACCCCGACGCCGACAAACCCACCCCGGTTTTGGTCGGCGTCCATAAGCGAATCCACAACGAGCAGAAATCAGTTCCAGTTCAATTTCATTTTGAGTTGGAGTTGCAGCGAAGAGTCAGTCTCAGTTGAAGCCGCATCGCAGATAGCTGACCAAGATTCACGCAAATTCCGGACTCCTCTTCAAACCAAGAACAATTATTTTGAAGAGCGACTTAGATCCAGACCACCACAATAAGTTTTTTTTTCGACTTTCGTCCGAAGACACACCGAAAAACCAATTTCTTAGAGAGCAAACAACTTGAAGCGTTAAAACTCGCCTAACGGAAAACGGGATAGATGCAGTCCTATGTATCGAACAACTAGACATAAAGTTTGTTACCTTTTTCTTTGATACTTTGAACTTTTTGAGTTTTCATTTTATTTTCTTTTATGCATATTTGTGTGGTATCACCACCGTTAAACTCAGATTGCATTCCGGCCCCAACCACTGTTTGATCTCGTCTGCCTAAGATCAATTCACAACGTGGGTAGGCAGACTGGGGATCAATGCAGTTACCTTGGTAACCAGGCGTTGGAAGCGAGTTGGGAACGACGAGGCTGATATCAAATCTAACCAGATTCCCGAATCACCAAAAGTTTAGAACGTCACATTTGGGTGCCATAACGATACCAAGCCAGTTGGTCGTCACAGGACGAGACAACACGACTGACGCGACAGGCGGACGTCACGTTTGGAGCAGCGACACCCGAACGGAGCAGCGAGGAGCGAACAGCTGGCACCGAGGCGAGGACGTCACAATTGTTGCTGTTTAGGGACGTCACTGTTGGTGCCGTGGTAGACCAGAATAGAACGTCACAGTTGGCGCTGCGACCAGGGGGCGAC